CCCCTCAAGTAGCTGTGTGGACTACAAGTGTCCCAGGGTTTTTAATACGAAGACTACGTGAGACTGATCCCGTTCTGCTTGGCATCCGTTCAGCGCGGTACGTGGCTTGTAACAGAAGAAACCTACATACGCGCGCCCAGGATCAGAGGAGAGATTTCTGATGTTCTCTGCTGAGATTGCGTTGTCGCCGTACTGGTTCAAATGTAGTACAAGCCGTTTCTACAGCAGTAGGTAGTGTACCACACAGAGAACCCCAGTTGACTCTCTACTTGAACAACTCACGCACTCACCAGAACATCTTTGAGGACTTCCTTGAGCCACGGCCCGTCGCGGCTGATCCTGTCGACCAGGGTGTTGAACAAAGGAGCAAGGACCTTGGTTTGCTCGTAGGAGTCCGCGGGGAGAGCTGGAAAAAGCGGAGCAACCGTACCGCCGTACCGGAAACCGCCGGCCGTCAGGGACCGGACGACCGGTCAGACTTCAAAGTACATGAACACATGAACAGCAGTGGTTTCGGACAAAAGAGGGCTCTGCAAAGAGCACAGCTGTGGTGATCTTCATTGCACCAAGATAGACAGTAGCACGACACAAAGCACGGCTATCATCTGGGTATTGCAATCGGGTTGAATGGGTAAGGGCCGGCAGTCGCGCTACAACAGGGTTGTGTGTTCAACCAGTGCATCATTCGCCTTGAGCATCGAGCGCGGTACATGTATGTGCCTCACCGTAAGGTAGCAGACTGAAGGGCAAGTGCGTGCTGGTGAAGAGACCCTTGTCGTCGTTGACCACCATACCGAGGCCGTTAGTCGCCGACCAAGCTACCGCGTGCTCCAGCAACGCACGAGGTACATCATCCTCGCCTCCAGACGGGGACGCCATCATCAACCTCGTCCCTGATCTAGCAGTAGCGCCTCTCGCTGTCGTGTTGGGCGGTTTAGATGCTGCAAGGACCAAGAATCCCTGGGCTCGATGAAAAAGCCACGTAAGCGACAGCAGTGGGGTCAGCAAAGTTGTTCTCATACCGCCCGCGAGAGAGGCGCGCGGCACGTTGCTTGCCGGAGAGCGGGTAGAGAGACGGGACGACGGGACATTTCTCTCCCGGAGCAAATTCTGGAAACAAAACGTAGATCATGCGGCGAGATTAGCGGTGATAGGAGATCAGTTCGGATGCCGTCATGCCGTCATGCCGTGAGTAAGCGTTGCGGGGAACGGTTGTGTCTATTACAGCAAACCCGAGATCTGTTGGGCGGACTTCACGCCAGACCGAGCATGTCGGCATCAAGCGATGAGGTATGGAAGCGTGGTTCGCAAGGTTATTGAAACAGGATATTGGGGCCTAGACTATGCCAGACTATGCGGCAAGATACCGCCGGCTTGCGGCAATCCTACGACATTGATTGGGATCTACGAGAGCGCCGGGTCGAGAGAGAGAGCAAGAACCCAATAGTACTGCAGCTACATAATACTCAGGAATATCGCAGACAATTCCTTTTGATCATTGGCCTCTCTCCTTACAAACGAACATAGCATAGCTCGTCCTCGGACACACAAAGCTGAGAGCTGGGAAACTAGTGCAAACGCTGCTTGGAGTTTGTAGCAGTGGGACCCGCGCGCTGACTAGGAGTCTTTGGTTATCGTGCTTCTCAACAATCATCACCAATTTTGCCACGTATTTCCTCTTGCTGAACACTTTCAGAGCTCGGGAGAGAACAGCAGCAACGACGAAGAGAGCGAGACGGAATCTGGTTCGAGCACTAGCTCATCAGACGATGAGAGCGGCTCCGGTAGCTCGTCTAGCGGCAATGTCAGTGGTAGCGGGAGCAGTTCTGGGGAGGACGATGACAACGACAGTAGCAGTGACGCTAGCGGTAGCCCGGGAGGCACCGAGGAGGAAGAGGAGGAGGAAGAAGGAGCTGAAGACGACGAGAAGGTCGGTGCATGTGGAGCTTTGGAAGCGTCGGTGTAGTGAATGTACTTGTAGTTCTTCGACGTCTACGCATGGCATGCATAGGCTGACCATAAACAGGGGGCGGGCAAACCAGAAAGGCCGTCGCTGCGACTGTTTCCTTGTTTCTCTTGTTTCACGGGAGCGTACCCTGTGGTCATACTGTAGGTGCCGCAACCAATATTCTAAGACCGCTATGCTTGTACCGAAAATCGGCCTCTCGGTGTGTCCAAGCCGTGGCGGTAGCAGCTCTCCTCCGGATTGTGCGGCAAGGGCTGTCCACCAGCGTTTGGTTGATGGTAGACATGGCTGCAGTCTGTTATCCGCGATATGCTTGGACCTGTCGTTGTCCTTGGGTTAAACCAAGCTTGGCCGCGAGCGTCAATCATGTTGGTGGTACCCTGTTGCACCGCTGCCAGCCTTGATTGACTACGTAACTGCGCGGTCCATCCTTCAGGAGAGGCGGCTGGCCAGGAAGCGAGAAGACTTCGAGAAGATGAAGGAACTCTCTGCCCATATGGACAACGTCGTGCAACGCCTGGCCACCTACTTTCCTCCAGACGACACAGAAGGAGAACCGAATACCGACGTCGTTCCCCCCTCTGCTGCGCCCGAGTTGCCCCCACTACCACTGCCGCCACCTGATAACGCAAGGGGTCGGTACGTTTCTGCAAGAGTCTTGACGATGGACCGGGCTGTGTCGGCAAGGCGAATGATGACCGACCGGGCTATTTCTGTTGCCAGCGGCCTGCACTTCGACGACGAGCTCTCAGGTGCCACTGCTGAATAGGTTGGACTCCGGCGTCCATTTAATCCTGAGGATCTCTAGCAGATTCTTGTGAAGAAGAAATGTAGCAGCCTGAGAGTTCTTACCCCGGGCTTTCCCACCGAGCTGAATGCCTGACGCTCTGAAACGACAACGGGTGACCGCTACCTCTCATGGTTGGCGGCAGTGAAAAACAGCTCCCTACGCAACGTAAGTACTCGCCGTCAGCGTGCGTGTTTGCTTACGGTGTGGTATACCATGTTTCTCTACCCGGTGTTGGCGTATCTAGCAATCCCTGAAGGCCCTGATGAAAACTCATCACTTGTATGCTGACCTCATTTGTTCGATGACAATCTTTCCCAAAAACGGCATAACGTGGGGGTTCTATGAAAAGAAGGAATCGCCCTCAACAGATGTTAGGGAGATATGCGACGTCGCAAAGTTCATCTGTCATCCACTTTCCTCCGACGCTACATTTTGCATGTTCGCATCTTCCTTCGGTTGACCCCAGCCTCGACAGCATCAAACAGCAGGCATGGGGAGGACGAACAGCGCGCGAAGCGTCGGGGCTCGGGGGGGCGTGGGCAACGGGGTACGAGCAGGAGACAGAGCCGTGCAGACTCGAATAGGCGGGGGATGGATACGGACGAGCCTGTGGGGAGTCGAAAACACGAAGCAGAAGGACCGGACACCGCAGAACACCGGAAACGGACAACAAGCAACTGGTCTAGGAAGGATACAAGTGCCAGCGTTGTCGGTAAGGGGCTAGGGCTCAAACTAGAGTCGAGCGGAGGGGGCAGGAGGTCCCGGTCTCCTCCAGGCAGAGCAGGTGCAAACTTGGGCTTTGAAGATTCACACGGTGCAAACTTGGGCTTTGAAGATTCGCACGAGCGTCTTCTGTGGGATGAACTCCGCGAGTCCTTGGAAGGGGTCGCCGGAAGCGATGCTGTGCCGCCGGCGTGGGGACATGGTGCTGCGGCCGAGAAAGCACGAGCGGAAAGGGCTCGCGAGGAGCAGCGGCGGCGGCTCATAGATGAAGCGATTGCTGTTTTGCTAGAGGGTAGTAGTAGTAGCAGCGACAGCAGCAGCGAGGACGAGAGAATAGATAACGACGACGATTGACGCTCTGCAGTGGACGGAGTGAAACAGCTTGACATTCTTTGAGCAAGCTACATGCGCTTGCTTGTCCTCTGCGGTCCTGTGTATGCAGAGCGCGCCACCACTCAAGAAGTTGAGCAGTTGAGACTGTAGGGTAACCCCCCCCCCCGAGAAATGTATGAACTCGACCTTAAGAAGGGGCACTCAGTGCTCAGTTTTGAGTCCTAAAATAGTACCTACCACATTGTCCCCGTTGTGTTTACCCCACAGATACCGGAGTAAGATTTGTTTGAGTACTACTGTACATAGCCTCAGGAGGAAAAAAATAGGCTGAGGTGAGCGCGTTCTGTAGGCGAGGTGAGCGCGATCAACTGTCCTTCTAGTCCAAGGAGAAGTCAATCTATTTCAGGTTCAGAAACTTATGCCACCTGCAACTAACCACCACATTTGCAACAGCGACTGCTGGTCAACATCCGCTCGTACCTGGAAGGCAGCATCGTATGTACAGTAGCATCAGCTCGCTAGTACCTGGAAGGCAGCGTCGTATGTGCAGTAGCATCAGCTCGGTCAGAGAAAACCTACCGCGATCGGCCCATCTACTGCTGCTGTCGAGGTACATATGTCGAATCAACAACCTAGTAATAGGTCGAGAATTCAGTACTACAGCAGCTGCGATGTGCGATCCCTGCGTGCAGTGTTATCTTTACCATTTCCCCCGGAGACAGATGTGTATATTGTTTGACCGTGCCCGCAGAAGAACCAAGGGATGTGCCTCACAGCAGTCAGTCCGTGGAGACATAAGGTGACCGACGGATGGATGTACGAAACAACTGGAAACATCTTGCTGGTGTGGTTGTGACGGCGTGGACGTTCGGAGAGTACGTGTAGCCTGCAGTAGTTCCATGATTCGCCACCGATTGCATCGGCCCAGCACGCAGAATCCTGCTTGAGAAGTGTGCGCAGGAAGTAGCAAGTGGGAGTGTGGGTTCCACCTCAGTCCACATGACATTTCCAACAATTCAGGTCCACATGTCAGTCCGTGAGTCCAACACCATCCCGGGATCCCGGGACTGCTTCAAGGCCGGGTGAAAAAGGGTTGAACGAAACACCCCGCCTCTTATTCCGGCGCGCGTCATGTTTCGCGCCGCAGGATCTTTTTTTTTTTTTATTGGTGTAGCTCACAGCAGCAGCGTGTAGTCTTACGCCCCCCGCGAAGCACCCCCTTGTCCCACAAACAGCCAGCAGTGAGTCTACACTCTACCCATCAACACTACCACCATCATGCTGTCATCCCTCAAAACTGCCGCAAGAAGAGCTGCTGCTGCGGCCCCTTCAGCGGGCAACAAATTACACAAAGGGGTCGTCGCATCATCGTCAGCTGGGAGCAGCGGCAGCATCATCGAACAAACCGCGTGCCGAGCGTTCGCTACCGTACCAGGACCCCGCCTGTTCGACTACGACACGGTGACCTCCGTGCTGAAGCAGAGCGATGCGGTTGAGGCGGTCGAGGCCGCGTTCGGGATGCTTGCGAAGGGGAAGGTCGACGTGCCCATCCCGATGCACATCGGTATCGACGAGTCCGAGAAGGCCGGACCGGGGGACTGCCACATCAAGGGCGGCTACATCTCGGGCACCTCGACGTGGACCGTCAAGCTAGCGAACGTGTCGTTCTACAAGAACTTGGAGAAGGTGGGTACAGCAGTGTGTCTCCGAGCACATGTTCTTGTCTCTGTTTGGCTCTCTGGCTGTAGAATGGGAGATGAGACGCATACGTCTGCGTTTTCTCGGGCACGCACACAAAATGTTCCTCAAGTCGGCGAGCACTTGATAGATATAGCACGCAACGCTTTCGGCCGGCTGAGGCAGTTCCGCTCATCCACCCGTGTCGTTGTGCGGGAAGTGTGGAGTAATCCAGCACGGCTTTGTAGGTGGCAGTTGGAGCGTCAATCCATTCTCTCTAGACTAATTTTGCCTATATGGAGCCGGCTGCTCTCACATCATGATCTCCGATCTGTTCGCTAAACTCGCCGCATTCCAGATGCCTATATATAGGTCCAGCTGCTTCATGAATCGGTGCTATCTAGCTCTCCGGAAAATGCAAGTCACACCTCGTTGACACAGCTGGCAGCCTGGCACGTAAAAAAGAATGGGGAGCGAAACCAAATATTGGATTCTGGCGCAACAGCTGTCAACTGTCTCTCAAGTATTGACGCCGATGGTATCATACGTGAAGGCGGAGCCCTTTTTTTTTTTTCCCGGCATGATCCAATTCCTTCGACGTTTGTTTGCATTCTGCAGTGCTCGTATGCCATGTACGAAGTACTCCTGCTGTTTGACCCCGACTAGAGCGTCAAACTTATACCTGGAGGCGTACTGTAGAATGGCACCCAGAATAGATGGAACAAGAAACGACAACAACAGCGAAACGATAACAAAGGATAGAACCCGGCGGTCGGTTCCCAGTGTCGGTGTGTCACCCTGCACAACTAACCGCCGCCTCTCTCACCGATGAGCTCCAGTTCGGGATATAACAGAAAACAGAAGCGCCGCCCCGCAACTTTTTTTCTTATGAGAAGGTTTACACAAAGCGTCAGCGGAGGCTACTTGTCTGTATGTCCACGATTGATTTCCCTAACTTTGTTTTTTCAGTCCGTCTTTCCAGATTCCGCCGTTCGGAAATTCACCCGACGGGCCGGTGTAAACCAAAAAACACATGCGGTATGAATGCATGTGATAGCTGCGGCTGTTGTCCCAACGGACTGTGTTGGGTGGATGTAAAGCGAACAAACAGACCCGTTCCGATGTTTCTTGTTTCTTAACAAAACGACGAGTCCATACCTCTACACAGATAGATGAGAGTCCAGCATACTGGAAGCAGTACACCCGTTGACGGGTTGTAGCGGGTGCATTGCGTCAAAGGCTGTGGAGGAAAGGGTGACTCAAGACCGTGAGATGAACGAGATTAACAAGTGCACAGCACATGCTTGCCCATGCAAGGCAGAAGGGGATCGCCCTTCTACAAACAACGCATACCAACTGATACACGAAACCCCCAGATCTCCGTAGATCCGTATCTAGTGCTGAGTGCACCCAGCACCCATATCGTAAGCGGAGGCTACGGGTGTTTCTACGATTCCCCGAGCAGCACACAGCAATATTTCGATTATGTCCATATTGTATCACCGATCGCCCTGGTTCAGCTGGTATTGGCTGATGGTCACCTTGTCCATCAACCCAGACCCGAATACCACTTAGACGTAATACGGAAGTAAGCATACAGGTCTGACAAAGGCTTATACTAAGTGCTCGACTCAGATATTGTTTCCCCACCCTCACCCACCCACCCAATCCCACTATATCTCAACTTTTCAACAGGGCCTTCCCGCCGGATCGGGCATCTTCGTCGTCTGCGACGCTACCAACGGCGCTCCCCTCGCCATCTTCCAGGTAATTCTGGACGCCGTACCATATAGCCTTTACTCCTCTTTTCAACGGCGAGCGACACGCGTCGCAATTTCACCCTAACTTGGGACAGCTAGGGGATTGATGACCCTCACCCCCGTTACGGTATCAGTCGTCTCTACGAGCTACATGTAAGCCCTCCGTTGAAATCGACATACAGGGCGTTTCAGACAACGATTGTCACCGCTTTCTTCACCTCGCAACCCCCGCAACAACAACAACAACAACAACAACAACAACAACAACAACAAAAACACGTGTCCACAAAAGTGCGGGTGAGTACATTGCCGAGATGGATACTTGGCCGCGAACGATCGGGGACTCAGAGAGAGAGAGGGGAGGGGTACTGACTGACAGAGGGATCAAGAGAGAGAGAGAGCGAGAGGGGGGGTGTACTCATAGTCGCGCATGCCGTAGTCGTTAGACCATTGACCTCGCATCCCTACAAACCCGGGACGGAGCACGCCGGGTTCCTACCGGACCAGGCTCTCACATCACCAAGCGCGAAGCGCCGTGAGATATTCGGCGAGTCGCATGAAGGGTGCGCTGCATCCTGCTAAGGGTTTTCGGCATCTTGTGTGCTTGCTTCCTTGCGTACGGATGACAGCTGCGTACATGATGACTCCATTTATTTTCTGGTGCTTTCACTTCCTGACAGTTACAAGCACTGTGTAACTGCCTCAAGGGTGCTTTACCATTTTAGCACAACGTGGTGCGATCATCCCCCTTGCGCGGAATGAGGGTTCTCCACCCCGTACAACATGATCTTCTCGACCACCATTATGGTAACCGCCAAAAAAAGCAGGTGTAAAAAAACCCCGGTAACCTGGTTGCCGAGTTCACGAAGTGAATTGGCTTGTTTNNNNGGGGGGGGGGGGGGGGGGGGGGGGGGGGGGGGGGGGGGGGGGGGGGGGGGGGGGGGGGGGGGGGGGGGGGGGGGAGTGAGAGTGGGGGGTGCAATTCGATTTCTTGCTCCGTCGGGGGCACCGTGGCCCATCTCTGCTGAGACTGACTTCCGTTCATTCGTGGAGGGCTACATATGAGGCACACTCCTTGCCCGGGGGGCCCACCGACGTGCACGATCTCGACATTAGTGTCTGTCTTTGACTAGTGTCCATGCCATTGGCCAGTCCGTCAGTACGATGCACACAACCTCCAAATACCTCCCCCAACAACGCACGCGCGCACACACAGGAGAACCGGTTCCTGACCGACCTGCGGACCGGCGCCGCGGGGGCGGTGTCCGTCAAGCACTTCGCGGCCCGTCACCACAAGAAGGTCGGCTTCGTCGGCGCCGGCGTGATCGCCGCGGCGATGGCGCGGGGCTCCAAGTGCGTGCACGAGTTCGACGAGGGCTTCGCGTACGGGCTGGACGTGGTGAAGACGAAGGAGTGGGCCGACGAGATCGAGGGGGAGCTGGGGTACAAGGTGCACGTCTGCAAGACGGCGGAGGAGTGCGTGCGCCAGTCGGACGTTGTCTTTACCCAGACTCCAGGGTCCGAGACGGTGCGAAGTAGGGGGTTCGCCCGAGTAGAGCAGGTTCGGGTTGGGGTTGGGTTGGATTTGGGGGTGGCAGGGTGAGAGGGCGTGCATGAGCCGTTCCGAGAGAGAGAGTGTCTGACTTCAAATGTGTCCGATTCACGTGTCACGCTGGTTGCGACAGGATTTGGCTCCGCTTTGCCAGCGCGGTGTTTCAAGTGGCCCGTGCGCTTGCTAGTCAAGACTAGAGGATAGGCGTGCTCGCACATGTTGGCCTAGTGTCCGCTTGACGATATGACACGCCAGTACTACTGTAGGTGGACTTTAGCTGTGCATGTTCAAGCTTGTTCAAGCGGCGAACTTCAACTTAGCCATGTACTTGTCGACCAAAACTAACAGGCGGTTGAGCTGGCCTGGTTGCGACGAAATGATGCGCCAGTGGCTGCAGTTTCTCTGCTCATGTTGAGGCTATTGAAGCGGCGAATATCAGGCTGTGTGACCACGTACGTACGTTCCGACCAACGATGATGACAGGTGGTTGAGCTGGACTGGTTGCGACCGCACGCGACCATCATCGCGAGCGGATCAGACCAGCCCACCAAGAACGAGATCCCGGCTGAGGTGTGTTGTGTGTTGTGTGTTGTGCTTGCAGTCGTGGCTCCGATATGAGACGGAGGGTACCTTGCAAGAAGGGGCTTCGATATATGAAGGTCGAGGGCCTTTGTCACAACACCCTCTTATATCGGAGCCACGACTGTATCCCCGAACATGTGTTCCAAGTGCGCTGTTGGTGGTGCATTGTTGCGACCGTCACCACTGTGTTTGGATTGATTCCGTTTGTGTAGTTCCCGTCTGTTTTCAGCCCGCCCCGCAATTAGCAGGCTCGCACGCGGGTTGCGTTTCGGGAGCACCTCAGAGAAACGGAAAATTGAGACCCGGTTGTCCAATGAAGAACGCTGAAATAGGCCGCGGATTATCTCGCGGTCAAATCATGTACCCAATGAAGGTTTTCTAAATGGGAGGCCAGCCGTTGGCGTTGAAACACATGGGGTTGAGAATTTGCGGCGGGCAGTAGGCATGTCGGGGATTGCCGTGATTGGTTGTTTGGTACACGCCGGGACGAAGAAAGCCGATTTAATATACTGCTGTCGCTGTATCTGATTGCACTGTGAATCGACGGAGATGGCGATCAAGCCCTTGTGCCACGATACTCTTTTTCATTGAGACAGCACGCCCAAAGCTTGTCTTGTTCGGGACTGTCTGGATGATTTCGTTGTAAAATGTTTTGCCTGCCGTCATCGTTTGCCGTTTGCGAAGGGATACTACTACTACTGTTTGCCCGTAGCACTTTCACACCAGTTTCTCGCCGCCCCCCTCCCCTCCTCTCCCCTCTCCTATCCGTGTTGTCATCCGCCGTTCCAAAAAACCAGGTACAGAAGGCGAGCAAGATGGTGTGCGACCTGGTAAGGCAGTGCGAGCAGGTCGGGGAGCTGCGCAGCGCCATCAAGGCCGGGGTCATGACGAGGGACGACGTCTACGCGGAGATCGGTGACGTTGTGAATGGCGACAAGCCCGGCAGGACCGGGGAGGAGCTTATCCTTGTCGACCTTACTGGTACAGGTGCTCAGGACGCCGCAATCGGGCAGGTGGCTTGGGACATTCTTTCCAAGCACTAGAAGCGATTGGACGTCGAACCTCTGAAGTAGTACGAAACAAAAAAAAAATTTGCCCCGAGTGTGGAAGACTAATCGGGGTTTGTTGTGTGTTCACCTGACGTCATGCCTGACTTGGTGAGGGCGCGTAAGGTAATCAATTTCGTCAAACTCTTGTTCGGAGGGCGTTTGGGCAGGTTACTTGCGATAGCTTGGGTTGCGGTTCACGAGTCCCTCCTCACAAATCGGCGAAGGTCACGCGTGGTGGTTGACGGGGAGTGTTGTACATATGTTGCTTCGAGGAGATATATGTGGACGTTGTCAGATCGTAAGGGAAAGGGTCTCGATTGAAAGCAATGCGGGGTGGATGATGGCCTTGCATAGGGTCAGAAGTGCTTCCTTTTGCGCATTTCCTTATGGTTTCGTCGGTCTCACCGACATAAGCACGGAGGCTTTGGGTGGTAAGTGCTCCGGGTGGGCGACGAAAGCTTCTGTTTTTTTCTCTTGTTTGCTTCCGTCGTGCTGCAATTGCTGCCCAACCGGTCGCTCAGCGGCAGCGAGTCGTTTCGACTTTCAGTGATTTATATCGGACACGAAGATCGGTTTCGAAGCGCTCAAACCACGGCCTACGGGAGTTTGACATGCCGTGGTTGGTATACATTCCCGGTAGACAGGACAAGCCCTATGGCCATCCCTAGTGACGATTGACTGTTGTTGCGCTAAGGGGTTAGCATCCTCGACGAGTGGTGGTGTTGGTGTGAATGACGTTTTAAAGCGTTTTAGCTCCGACCTAACGGTCTGCATGAACACAAGTTTGGTCATGAAAATGGTCGCTGCCGTGGGGTCTACACGTTTTGGGGGCTGTCATCTTCCATACGGTGTCTGGTCGCACACACAGCATAATAGATATCGGCCCTGCCAAACAATGAGATGGGAGGCAGCACCCATGTCGCTCTCACGCCAAGCCAAAACATGCAAGTTGTGGTTATTGTGCAAGGATTTAAATCTTGAATTAGCCTTTGCGGGTTTCGTTGCGGCGTTCGGCCGCTCGCTAGCTTGTTGCCGAGTCGTTCCCGGTCGGTTCTACTGTACGCCGGGAAGTCTCACATGGTAGTATGCGTTAAATCATTCCCGCCTCCTTCGCGTAAAGCTCAAGACGGTTTTTCCCCGGAAACCATCCCAGCTCGATATGCATCGCTTAGCCAAGTCATTCCCGTGAGGTTTGTTGTTGCGGGGTACTTGTGTTGTTCTCGCCTAATCTCGCCTTGCTGTGGCAAACGCTGCGGATTGCTTCTCACGCGCTTAAGGACTTCTGGGTCTTCAGGCTCCTTCCCCGCCATTGTGTGTTGTCCGTTAGAACCACGGAACGGATCCGCCGTCGCATCCGGTTTTCATCATGACGAAGAGATATCAGGTGGGTTCCATATCCCGGTGATGCATATATTTTGTTGTCGGAACTCGCGATGCGATTCTGTGGAATTGAATCATTCGGACCCAGCCCTAGGGTTATCTCCCTTTACAACCAAAACCGCGAATTTGGGACACATTCGAAATTATCGCATGTTTTCAAAATCTGGAAACCTTCCCAGCCAACCAGGCATGAAGCAGAACTGTAACACACACATCCAACAATTTTCCAAAAACCATTGTAAAAGGACAAAACATCCAAGATAATATACAAAATATTAATACCACCCTTAGTGTAGCCGGGCAAGAGAGTTGTTCGACGCCCTCCTTGTGAAAACAGCGCTCCACACAACAGAAGAATGAAGTAAACCGTTGAATGTCTGGTTGACGAGCTTGATGACTACTCGTGGAAGCAACAAAATTCTACATGTGGGATAAAAATTGAGAGGCATCCGATGGGGCATGGTACACGCACCCTCATTTACCACCCACAGCCTCTAGGCTTCACGGTGCCTCCTCTGAGTTGAACTTCCCCCCTGGTCTCCTTCCTCAGTTTACCCGTAATTTGCTGTAATCTCTTTCAAAACTCTCTAAGACCTGAGCAATAGAAGGACTCGAGTCGCAGAATTCGTTCGGTGATGACCATCGTCCAGAAGTTCGTTCGTCAACGGTCTCACAAGCAATCTCTAGACTAAAGTGAAAGCCTGATAGCATAGTCTATAGACTAATCATGAATCCGAGCGGTCATCTTCAGCACGCCCATCGGTATCAGCAGCAGCAGCAGCAGCAGCAGCAGCAGCAGCAGCAGCCTTGGAGCCTGTCGCCGGAGGAAGACCATCGACGATAACGTTCCAGCTCGCCCAGCACACGGCAGTCATGCTGAGGGTGGGGACCACACCCGTGAGCGAAAAACTAAGGTCAGTGGGAGAGAGAGATACCAAATTACGGTGGAATCCTCCAAAATTTCAATACGAACGGTTCCCTCCTTCGTCGAGTCAAGGGAAGGCCAACTACGGAGCACGCAACTCCACCCCCAAAGGGAAGGCGGCACATGAGCCACGCGTCCCAAGTGGAAAACGCCCGCCATACAAACAGACGTCCTGTATGGACGGAAATATGTCAACACTCCGGAGTGTACTACGGCAGAAAAAAACAATGTTCAGATGGAAGCAAACAACCACGCGTGCACACCCAACCGGACACAGGATTGCACCCGATTTCGCAGGCGATGAGAAATAACAACTGCTGTAAAAGTTAGAAGTGACGACAGAGAAGCACCTGCAGCAGCAACACTGACAAGGCAGAGACACATCCTCCTCCTTCTCCTCCCCTTACAACTACAAGAAGGGCAAACATGTTCAAGAAAGGGACGACCACGTACGTAAATACATTTCCCCCTCACCTCAGAGCCAGGAGGTAGAACACCAGGTGGTAGTCCAGAGGAAAAGGGCGACGGCCGTCATCATCGATTGACCATGCGAAGATGGCCGAGAAAAAAGCCGGGCCCACGGCCTTCGCCAGGGATCCGAGCATCATGGACAACCCGTTTAGGGTTGCCCACCGGGAGGGTTCAACCGCGTTGTTGGTCGCCAGAGCGACGTTGGTGAAAACCTGGCGATACAACGACAGTGTGACGATTGCATGATGTCGATTTGGACGGGCAGGGGAGCGGGGCGGTACTGCCGGCGTACTTGGTTGCTGGTGTCTAGGTGGTACTACGTCGGTACATGTAGCAAAAGATGGAGACCACTAGTCTAGACATACGTTTTCTACGCATGTTGGCTAAGCCCTGATTTGGTTGATCAAGGCTTGATTTGGTTGCTACCATGCGGTTTCCGCAATAAAACTTTTCTATCGCAACACCTTCCACATTTTGCTATCTATCATCGTTATGCGTGCCCACAAACCAAAGCTGATGGTTTCGATCTAACTCACTGCAGTGGCGGTGACGTTGGAAAAGAAGTTAAGGACGATCGAGCCGACGACCAGCAGCACTCCTGAGCCACGCAATCGCGAGAGGAAAGGAAAGACCGCGTACACTAAGATCGCAAGGAAGCACGCCCAGCGCTGCGACCCCGTCACCCCTATTCGTTTCGACAGCCAGGGATACACCACAAGCTGGAAGGTCAGCATCCCCACTCCAACCAACGAAAGGACCTATGATGTGTATGTATGAAAACAAAAGAAATGGGGAGGCGACGAGGAGGTGCGAGGGGGCATGGTTGTAAGTCAGCTGCATTGTGTTTTCCTGAGGCGACATCGAGCACACACACGTGAATGGAGGCGGAGTTACCTAGCACCGATGGTCCTTGTCCTATCAGAGGGAGTGTAGGCGAGGGGCAGTCAGAACGTGCATAAGTTTTGGAGATCGCTGCCACCCAGGGTGACTAAACGATAGTGGATCAGTTGTTATTGATCAAATCAAGTTCCGAAGCAAGTCTTAGGTCTTTGTCGTAGTCCTATTTAGTCCCTAGTCCTACCCCAGTTGATAGGAATAATGTTGTAAGAGTCGTAGGTCGTGTGGTAAGGTCGTCGGTCGATCGGGTGCCGCTTGGGGTTTCTCGTGAAAACACTACATTACATGTTTACCACATGTTTACAGAGACACAAGAAAACATACAAGTCTCAGACTAGACAAGGGCGACGGAACTTCGAGTGTACCCACAAATGACGTTTCGTGGTCAAAAGTTCATTCTTGCCGGAATAACCTGACGGTCCAATGCTATGCCACCGTCGTGACCGTGCTCCAATACAGTATTGTTGAGGAGTATAGCATATCCACTCTGCTACAAGTCAACGCTGACTTGTAGCAGAGTAGATATGCAGCACACCTTAACAAGTATAACACCAACAGTTTCCTGTGCCGTCAGCCTGTCCTACACTCAATCACATTTACATTCTACAGCACGGAGGCCTTCGGCATTTCGCCCTACTTCGCAGTAGTGGTCGTAAATACGCGCAATAAACACCGCTGTGTCGCGGACCTGGCCAACATCTTTGGTCGACCAATCCAGCCCCGCTGCCGACGCTGCTGATTGCCCACAAGGGGTACACAGCTTCAAACCCCATGTCAATAAGCTGCCCAGACACAGAAACAACAACAATGGAAGGCGGCAGCATGCACGCCGAAGCAAGAAGCGCCAGCACGCAACAGGCATGGCAGAGGCGGGAAACAGAGCAGAGGAACCACGGCGGAAAGACGTGTTTTTCCTGTGAGCAACCGAGGAATAATGCACAGGGAAACATATTTCGGTGTTTTGCGACCAAACCTGTCCGATCTGTATCGTAGTCCAATCCAGGCCCCCGCTTGCCACCGTGCTGAGGGCCCATAGCGGGTAAATCTCTTCGAAGCCAATAAGCGAAAACTGGCAAAAGAAAATGTAACCACCGCGTGGGGGCTTGTTCATTGTTGGTTTCCGCCGTTTTTTTGGGTGTAGTTGTCGTTGCAGTGTTGTTGTTGTTGCGGTGCAGGATTCAGCACCACGAAGGTGGGGGAGGCATGGCCCGCGGTCGCTAACGGCGAGGGCCAACCCCTCGGTCGACAACGCGTCTGCCTGATAGAGCATCACGAACACAACTCTGAGTGCCAACCAACATCGGTTGATCCTATAGTTGACGCTTTGAGAGGACATTCGATTTCCATCTGGAGTGGAAGATCTTGGAAGAAGTTTTATTGTGTAGAGTATGAACGCATGATTGTTCTTGAGGGTGCGTGAAGAATATCGTGTTCGGGGCAAAGCACGGTGAAACGGGGCGTTGCGTTTCCTGCAGAGTAGCACATAATCGGACGTGGCATCGAGTAAGGGGTGACACGAGAGTTTTGTGTTGAGTGCACTCGTTCGAACTTAAGTAACCATCGAGCGACATTTGCAGGGGCGACCGAGAAAAGCATGACGAATCTTGTACGTGGTACCATCTCTGTGCAGGTTGGAAGAGCAACACCGTCCCCACGTTGAGCGTAATCTCATTTCAAACGCCGTGCTCTGAACGGACACAGCTGCTCGCTCACCGAGTAGATGCAGTACACGACGAGAATGGCGCGGACACGCTTCTCTTCGAGCAGCCTAACCGGAACGAGACACTCTCGCCAGACCGCGCTTGTACGCATGGCTATTTGGCTCTCTCCGGCGGCACAACTTGCGTCGCTACCGTCCTCGGTGCTGAATCCGGTGACCCTGTTTCCCAAGTCGTCTCCAATGTGGCCTCGTCTTCCACTAGGATGCTGTTGGCTGTAACCTTTGTTCCCCTTGGTGCTGCCCGCAAGGCCCAGTATCTCACTCCGTCCAACTGGAGATGAAAGCGATGCTCCTCCACTGGGTGCCTCCCTCGGAGGCTGCAAAAACCGATCGCCGCTGCTGTTGCGGTTGCTTCCGCCGTCCCCGAAACTATTGCCAACGCCGTAGCGATCAACATCGATCTTCTTCCTGGCGGTTTCACTTTTGTCTCCAAGCGCAACCACCCTGTCGTTGCTAGGGTGATTGATTGCACCGCCAGTCGATTTCTCCCGGGCAGAACTAGCTCCACGACCCTTCGAATCAGGCACGACGGCTCTGTGCCCGCCACCATCACCACCAGCGGCGTTTGAAACCGTAGCCCTTGCCGAGGAGCATTCCTCAGAACGCTCCTCGAGAAGTTCGGCGAGATGCTCGTCATCATCATCGTCGTCGTCCACGTCATCCAGAGAATTCGACTGCGTCAGCGGAGCCATCTCAAGCTGCCCGCCCCTCCCCTCTTCCATCCCCGAGTCCTGGGTTTCCAGGAGGGTGCTTGGTTCTGGTGTCGCGACAAGATCGAACCCGACCCTAAGGTTAACGCG